CGCCACAAGGCCACGTGCAAGAACGCGGGGCCAGGTGCACGATCACAAGGATAGTTGAGCAAACATGAGACCCTAGCTGAAAACAGAGGGCTAGGGTCTTCAAAGTTCAATGGGGTGCTCGAGATTCATCTGGAACCCCGTGCGTGCAAAACAACTAAGCTAGTCCATTGGAAATGACATTCCAGACTCAAAGTAACCATCAAAATTCCCGTTCGAGGTTGTTTCGACAAAAAGTGGGTCCTACACCCAATTTTCATTTTAAGCCAAAATCTACGAAGGGCCTCGAAATTAGCGTAGAAGCCTCGGAACGTAAACAAAGGGTCATTCTATACCAAACTCAACATTATGGAGCTAATCACGCATACATAATTCTCATCCAATATCATTTTCTCAGAATTTTGACTAAAGTCAAACTTCAGGTTCACCTTGAAAGTTAAAACTCCTAATCCCACGCCTCGCACTGAAAGCCTCTGGAGACGTGTTGACTATGCTACTATCTTAGAATGACTCTTATGGAGCTGATAGAATCGTCAAAATTAGATTTTGAGGTCATCTTCCTGAACTTCTTATCGAAAATAAACATTCAAACTCAAAAGATCCAAAACACTAAAACTAACATAAAACTAAATGAATGACCAAGTGAGCAAACTGTCAGTCCCAGCAAGTCATAAATGACTTGGGATCGCTACAGAAAAGCTTGTACACTGAAAAGGAGGCATACACACAAAAATGACCTAGAGATCACTACAACATCCACTACTAAAAAGGATTTTCATCCGCGAAAGTAAGAGTTAAGAAGCTCTAAAAGCTCAAACAAGCTAGGAAACTACTCTCGCATATCATGCTCGATTTCCCAAGTAGCCTCCTCGACTTAACAATATCTCCAACAGACCTTAACTATATGATTGGCTCTCGAACACAATTTTCGCACATCTTTGGCAAGAATGGAAACTAGCTCATCCATGAAGGTCAAGTGATCATCCAACTCTACTACATCATACTGCAGAACATGTGACTCATCAGGAACATACCAAAGTAGCATTGAAACGTGAAAGACTTGGTGGATAACTGAGAACATTAGAGGCAAAGCTAGCTCATATATATGCAACCTCTCCTACTATCCAGAGGATCTCAAAAGGCCCAATATACTTGGGGCTAAGCTTGCCCCATCTCCAAACCTCACCACACCCTTCATGGGAAACATACAGAAGAAAACTCTATCACCAACCGAAACCGCCCAAAGTCTATCCTGAATCACCCTCACCTGCTCCAAAGCCTCCTTAGTAAGGTCTGTACCAGGAGGTGTAGGCTCTTCAAACTACAACCAACCAACTGGAGAGTGATAGCGCCTACCATAATAGAAATAGAAAATTCAAAATTATAGCCTTTATCATAAAAGAGTTTTGACAAAGCGGAAGTCTAACATAAGTCTCAACAAGCCCTCTATTAGATCATAAGGAAAGTGATTGGGACGTAACAAATACATCACATACAAATCATGACAACTGAAATGATAGAAAACTATGAAAGTATCTCGGTCCTCAAAACATGAGGACTCACCAATCTTCAATGCCAAAGGAAATCAACTAGTCACTAGTACAGAGGTAGGAGCATCGTACCCTACATTAGTGAAACAATGTAGACACAAGTATGCATTAGTACATGAATGTACTAAGTATGAGGAAATATGCATAAAATAGACATGGTGTCATAAATAGCATAAAAATGCAATGCATGAACAATAATTGAACATTTAAAAAGGCTTAAGGAAGCAATGTCATATAAATCATGAAATATAATTAATGCATTTAAAATAAGAGAAATAAGAAAACGTTTGAAGAAACATAGTCATTTTGTGGGATATTAGCTTTAACTGACAATAAGACCATGAGTGTTATATCATGAAATTTGGTATATCCATCATACCGAAAGAAGGGAATCTACTTACCAAGGTAGAATCCGTACATATCATCTTTTTTTAAAATGAATCCACTAGCTAAGTCATTTAAGATAATCCTACAGGGGCACGTAGTTTGGACTAGAGGTTGCTATCAGAGACTACCCTAATTGAGCCTCCACCTCAAGCGTCTCGATGCTAAGTCTAAATCTCAACGGAATAGATAAAAGTCAAATATCATTATAGCATAGGAAAGACAATGATCAATACTAATCCACATCTTAAAATCAAAACATAGAATAGCTCCTAAAGTTACAATTCAAGCATAAGTGAGAAAACCTTTCACCAATACGAATCCATACGTGAGAAATACCTTTCACAATCATGATCATATTCCTATGTGAGGAAACCTTTCAAAACAACATTGATATATTCATCTAAAAGCACCCTATCATCATAAACATCATTTCCATAAGACATGCATAATCTTCCAAAATTCATAATTCCTAATTCATAGTTCTTCATAGGTTCATAGTTAAAAATCATGAATCATGCATGGGTCTATATAACTTCAAATATCATGTATCAACATTGAATCATGCTTTACAAGACTAATTCAAAAATAAATATCATAATTGGATGAACCCTTATAGAACTAAGAAGAACCCTAATTTTGATCAATTGAAATTGAATTAAGAAATCGAAAACCTTGAGGACTCCATGGAGGAATTGAATCTATGAGTATTCTCACATACCTTTCTACTCAAATCCCACAAAGAATGGTGAATTGGAAACTTGAATTGAATCCTAGATTCTTCTTCTTCTTCCTTAGGTTGAGAGGAAATTATGGAGTGAAGTTTGTTAGGTTTTGGGGAATTAGGAGAATGGATTTGAAATGGGTAGTTATAGGACTTATAAGCTTTATATCGGCTTAAGGGTAGAAGACAAAATGACATGGTATTTGTTTTAAAACAATTAGGAAAAAATCCAAAAGCCCCTTAAAATAACTGTCGGACTCGATCTACGGTTCTGACCTACAGACCATTGAATTTTTTATGGTCCATACTGGTCAACCGTAGACCAAGTACTAGGAACATGAATTTTTCTCAAACTTGATGGAACCCTGCTACGGCTCGTAGGTCTTCCTACGGTCCGTAGACACCAACCGAAGAAATCAACTTGACCCCTTAAAATTTCACAAAGTCTGGATTGCTTCTACGGACCCTATTTATGACCAGTAGAAAGTCCTACGAACTGTAAACTGGTCTCATACACCTGATCCTGGTACTGCAATTTAAGGCAGTCCTTCCCTTTTGAAAATCTGAGGTCCCGGGGAAGATATATGTTTTCCAAAAGTGGAGGGAGGTCTTGAATTTAGATCTCAATTTGATGTGTCTAAAGCATTATTTGCAAAGTTATGGTGGAATTTTAGGACTACAAATTCTTTATGGTCCAATTTCATTTGGAACAAATATTGCAATAGGCACAGGCCACAAATTGTTGAATGGAGGGGTGGATCTCAGGTTTGGAATATGATGCTACATGCTAGAGACCAGATGGATCAAAAAATATGGTGGGAACCTAGATGTGGTCATTCTAGTACTTGGTTTGACAATTGGACTCAATTAGGTGTCCTTCATTATGTTTTACCCATCATTCATAAGCAAGTTGGTGTTTAGAAGATGTTAATCAGTTGATGGTGAATGGGAGGTGGAATAAGAATCTTATGTCAGACACATTTACTAAGGAGTTTTGCGACCAGGTGCATTTAGTCTTGGGTAATTTTCAGGTTTCAGATGACAGAGATAAACCTTGGTGGATGCCTAATAGTAAAGGGAGGTTTACAATTGGAAGTGCCTAGAACATCATCTGACAAAGGAAGAATGAGCAGAAGGATATCATGAATATTTGGGAGAAAGGGATCCCTTTCAGAGTCTCTTTCCTTCTATGGAGAATTTGGTTTCAAAGAATACCTATTGGGGAAGTTTTGGTTAGGAGCAGAATTGCACACTGTGGAATGTTGTTGTTGTTCTGATAATGTACAAGAAACATTTTATCATTTATTTGTTTCCTGCGCTGATTCTAATTGCCTATGGAATATGTTTTCAAGACCAGCAGGGATTCAGGATCCATTTATGCATTTGAAACAAACAGTGAATAAATGGTGGGATTTTGATTGTGTTGCTAATCTTAAACCATTACACAAAGAACTACCAGTGTTTATTATTTGGCGGATCTGCAAAAGAATGAATGTGATCAAGCATGGGGAAAATGACCAGAAATGGGATGATTAGAGAAATTAATAGGAATATCTATTTGTAGATACCCTTGGTTGTCTGATATTCCTAAAAATTGACCATGGATTGTCAAGTTTTTTTAGGCATATAGACCATTGATTATTAGTAAAGTGGTGAGATGGAATTATCCAAATGTAGGGGTTTTCAAGTGTAACTCAGATGGTTCTAGTAGAGTCAATTTGGGTCTAAGTTCTAGTGTTTTTTTGTGTCAGAAATTCTAATGGAGATTTATTGTTTACTAAAGCCATAAGTTTTGAGATTCGTTCTGCTCTGGAGGCAGAAGTTAAGGCATCTAGAGATGGATTATTGTACTGCATCCATCATAATTTTTTTCCATTAATTATGGAGACAGATTCCCTCATCATCAAGAAGATTCTAGATGGAATCTGGGAAGTCCCATGGGTAATTTTTGTAGACATAAGGTGGATTAGAGATGTTATGAAGGACAAGGTGGTGAAATCAAACACACCTATAGAGAATGGAACACACTGGCTGGTTTTTTAACTAATCATATTTTCAATTTTGTAGGTACAAAACTAATTCAATTTAATTCTACACAGGAGCTACCATCATAGGCAAGAACTATATTATAATTAGACAAACAAAACTTGCCGCAATTAAGGGTAAGAAAGTGTCAAAATGTCAGGTTCAACATTTCAATCACAAATTAGAAGAACAAAAAAGGAGCAGTCACAATACTTCATCTAAAAAAAAAAGGAGCAGTCACAATAGAACAACATTGTCGCAGCTAACAAAAAGGAACAGAAAATCACAAGGATTACTAGATTGAAAAATGAGGGTCTTACTTGGTAGTTTCATGGGTTTGTTGCAGTGGTATCAACTCCTTGGGGTTCAATCTGCACAAGTCATGAAATTACTTAGTGAAACTAACAATTTTTTATCAGTTCAAGGGTTGTAAGTTTTGGATATGAGCCTTACCTTGAGATACGTTTGTGATATTTGGTGTCAAGTTGAAGAAGTCTTCAATGAGTTGAATCCATGGTGTTTGTGAGAGTTTAAACGCCCATGTGGATATCGCTCAAACTTGATATTGTCTCATCTTTGCCGTCATCGAGAGGTAAGGCTCTCCTCGAATCGCTAGTTTTGTCAAAGTCGTCGTGTTGATCAAAGAAGAGCAGCCATCAGAAGTTTATGTCCTTCTTCCTCGCCTTTTTGTTTTCTTTTTTCTTTTTTTCATTTGTTTCCTTTTTTTTATTGGGATTTGGTCACTTTTGGACCAAAGCTTTATTTGACTTTTTGGTATATAATGAATGGGCATTGCCCGTATTAATTTATTTTTTTTTAAAAGATAAATAATCATAGAAGATATAAAATAAATAGTAATTTATACATTAAATATAAAAACATAAACTACATCAATACAAATAAAGAATTTTAAAACGAGTGGAAATTGAATATTAAATTGGACTTAATTGGAGATTCTCTTAAAATGAGAGAAGACTTGAATAAGTTAAAATTGAACCCAATTCAAACTATCTTAAGTTCAACCCGTAAAATTCTGGACGGATTGAATGGGTTACTTATAGTTGGGCTTATTTTGACACCCCTAATCTACACGATTTCTCTATGCAATCCATACATGAGCTGATGGCATACAAAGTGTACGGAAAACATAAAGGCAGAAATGTAGAAAATATTTCATGTATACAGATAAAAATTAAAATAACAATCCATACATGAGCAGATGGCATACAAAGTGTACGGAAAACATAAAGGCAGAAATGTAGAAAATATTTCATGCATACAGATAAAAATTAAAATAACACCAATCAGCACATCTAAGAAGACTAGTCCATAATAGGAAGCAACAGCAACATAATCCATAATTTTCCCTTCATTTACAAATGCATGTTTCAAACTTTTATATACGTATCTGCTAGGTATTCAAGAACAAGTACAGAGTCGCCTCTCAAAACAGACTAGAAGTATGTCTAGTTGTCCAGAGGCCCAGATACCGAGGATAAGATGGCTAGAGGACCAATTATTCTAGTTTCTTGATGTTATGCAATATTTGGGAGAATTACACTTGTCCATTTCCAGAGAGAAAGGTAGTCTTTTCTATCGGCCAAGGAGCCCCTGCCATCACTGCCTCAATCTCTTCAACCTTCCGCGGGCATTTGCTCATGTTAACGCATCCACTGGAAGTAACACACTTCAAGGACACAAAGAAAGGAAAAAATTAACAGATAGGTACAACTTGACAAAGGTGTAGAGGTTAAAAAGGAACCACATTCAAGCTAATATGCACATGATATAGCAGTTATTCCAATAACACCTAAGAAGTCCAGCAAAAACACACCACATCACTTTCAATTCTGACTCCACCAAAACCTCTAAACCTGTTGATCTCAACACGATTGAAAAACTCTGAAACCGCTGGACTCTCCAAGGCAGGAAGAAGCAAGGCATCAATGAAGTAACAACCAGGCTCCACAGTGATCACCTAAAAAAACAATCCGCACAATTATAGCCTAACCAAATTTGAAATATGCTAATCACTCAAAACGGCAAGGGAACAATGTAAAGACCGTGAATAGATTTTCGGGGATTAGTGAGGACTAAGAAACATTATATGCGGGGAGGTTTTGCAGACAGATACAGAAAATGGCCCACTGATGTCTAAATTCCTTGAATTACTTGAAACCCAATAAATTATTTCAGTTACCCTACCCACTATGTTATTTTTAATATACCTTCATGTTATTTTAACTAAAAACATAGAAAGTTCACATGGTCAATGATCAAGCTTGAATTTATCTTTTGTAATTGTGGCAATAAGCTGTGACTTGTCAAGTAAATTTTAAGACCAACAATTAATGCAGGTGGTATTGAAGAAATCATTTCAGATCTATTAACAAAAAAGGTATTGAAAAGACATGAGCATGTTGTTTGTACTCCAGTCATAATTCATTGATTGCATGGCCAACACATACATGTTGGGCAAATTTTCAAGAACCACATTAATGGTTATTCAGTGACAATTCACGAAATAGTAGTTTGGACCTAATAGCTTAAATTTGATATGTCATGTCACCAAAACTTAGACTACTGACCATTCCCTTTAAGAGCTTTCTGCTCGTACGTAGAGAGCTCAATCCAGGTTCTTTTGGTCTTTCAGCTCCCTGAAATTGTAAGTCAGTTATTCACTTCTCAATTATATCCAGAGAATATATGAAAAACTGCAGGCTACTTAACAAAGGAAGACATTTAACGAAAAATATTAAACCTGCAAGTAACCCCCAGGATCATGAGTATCAATTCCAAGAAGGTGCCCCAATCCATGAGGCATGAAAACAGCCCCAAGTCGCTCGGCCATCATTTTATCAACATCCCTTTGATCAAAGTAAAGAAATCCCTATTCCATATCAGCTACTCCAGACTCTATAGGAAAGGCTCGTGAGAGAGAGTAATTATACAAAGGGAATAGAAGATACCCAAAAAGTAGGTTCCCTTTCTTCAGTGATTCCAAAGTGACCCTTTCAGCTAATCTGCAATTCATGGTGAAATACAAGTGAAAAACAAGCTATAATGATTTGTGTAAAGGTAGACATTCATGCCATGTGATAACTGACAGTTTTTTTTTATAAAGTTTAAGTTGTATTCTTCAGCATTAAGGGTATGCTGCCTACCTCCAAAAAGTTACAAGCTAAATCCATAATTACATAGATCCTAGGAAATCTACCAACTGTTCTACTTCTTCTATTTCACCTGATTTTTGGCAGTAATAAACACTTATAGATGCAGATAAAGCTTCATGTTTCTATTATAGCATAAACTACAACATGTTTGAACTTGCCATATCATCTCATTATTTCGAAAAAGAAGGGTAACTTCAATTGATTGTTCAGGGACAGTTTTGTTAGAATCTTTGTGAATAGTTTCTAAATTTAATGTAAATAGAGTAGGTAACTTAATTTACTCCTATAGTAATTACCTTTCTTTTTTAGGACATCTAAATATAGCTATTTGAACCCCAAATAGCTTGAGGGAATATGAACCTGAGTTCCTCTTAGTTTCTCTTCCACTTCACAAGTTTCACTAATTTTCATGGTAACATAAGACCAGACTAATTCATCTTCTGAGAAAGAGTTCAAGACTTGGTACATGGAGAAAGATAAGTTGTAAGGTTGCCACTTATACATTCAAAATAGTGAAGAATATAGCAGAAAAGTTTAATGAAAGAACTAGAACTTCAGCAAATTCCAATGTCAGAAACTTTTAGTTTTTTTGCTGGACCTTGATTCTAAAAGATCTCCATGGAGCTTTTGGCCTAATAGGTTTCATGTGCGTCAAATCAAGCTTGATCAATCTGCTCACTGAGACCAAACTGACCTAGTGGATAAATCAGAAATACATAAACAAAAACAGCAATTAGACCACAGAGAATGTGATTGTGGTGGGGGGATATAGAGTTTACACTCATTGTCAAAGCTCCAAACTGTACACATTCATTCTTCTGGCCAAGTATGGAGATGCGTGATTTTTTTGTTTCTTTGTGTCCGAAGAGAGAGAACTAACTTTCTAAGGTTTGTGGATAGGGATGTAGATTATTGCACCGTCCGTTCTGATTTTGATATCTAGCAAATTTTACATGACTCTAAAAGATTATTAAAACATTGGCATAACAATTTATCAAGTCAGAATGTTTACTCAAGAGAACTTCACAATAAGGGACTCCAAATGTATGTCTGTAGTTACCCTTTCGTTTATCTAGATTTTTCTATTTTGTCGATAATCTTTCTGTTTATGGAACTATGGGAAGGGGAACAAATGATCTTCTGATTGCATGTAACAAGTAATGAGATATTCCACTTTCGAAAAATTAACATCATCTTGACGTCCTCAAAAGGAAATGTTCAATTTGAAATTGAGGGGACAAGCTATAATTCATTATCTATATGACCTGATGAAATATAGAATCAACTGATTTTGTGAGGACATTAGGCAAAGCATATCATCATTTAAGTGATCCAAGTTCTGCCATAAGTTTTTCTAGTGATTCTACCTATTGATTTGTGAGTCAGAAAAAGAAAAAAAAAAGATTATCTCAACAACTTATTCCAAATTCAAAATTTGGACAGCAAAGTCATACTTATGCATATCGACCCAGCTCACTCCAGGCCTCATGGCAGAAATGACAGCATCATGAGCATCAAGGACAGCCTGCAAATAATAGTGATTACATAATAATGAAACGTTTTGTTATATTCCAAGGTGAGGTCAAAGCACATGAACATGGAAAATTACATTCAAAGGTCTTGTAAGCTTCATATTCAGTCTTAATACAGGTAGGGATGGCAATGGGGCGGGGTGGGTTTAAGGCAATGCGGAGCAGTTTTAAGGTTGTGCGGGACGGGAGGGATGCGGGGCGGGTTGAAGTGGGTTTTTTTTAAAAGTAATGTGGGGCGGGGCAGGGTAGGTTGCAGGTATATGTGATTTTATGTGAGTTCAAACTTAATTTTAACTTTTTACATGTTATAAGAGTGATAGAGCATTATTTATCAAGATAATTTCTTTAAAGCTACTAAATTATTTAAGATAGTAAATGAAAATGGTTCAATAAAAAATAATACAACTTCTTACATGTTTCCCAATTGACCTCTAAAAAACAAATTTCTAAGTCATTATCTATTAAATTAATACAACTTAATGAAAAATGAATTTATTTTTATGAATTTTATTTTCAGTATCAAACTTAACTAGAAAAAAAAATATTAAAAAAATTATGCGGGGCTGGTTCATGCAGGGCGGGTCTATGCGGCGTGGGGCGGAATAAAAAAAGTTGTTATGCGGGTGGATTAAAAAATTTGCGGGTTAAGCTAAACCCACCCCGCCCCGCCCCTCACCGCCCCATTGCCATCCCTAAATACAGGCCTTACCAATTTCAAAAATGAAGGTGGAAGGCTCAGTCAGAGAGGTACATAGTTTGCTGCATAAGTTCAGGAGCGTGCTTCCTAACGTGTGGTTTCAGGTTAAGGGATCTCTAGAGACTAAGTCTGTACTTTAATCCTAAACCAAGTAATGCATTTTTTTTAATAGAAAGACAATCTGATCAGCTCCCAAGCACAGCTTGTGCACCAATGAGATGCACATCATATTC